ATATACATAATTATATTAATTTTTAATTTAAATATATATATATATATATATATATATATATATCGGTGTCGTTCAGAATATCTTTATTTGATTCGTAGAACACATTTCGTAGTTTGATCCGTAAAACGTAATAACACCGATATGCAAAGAAAATCAAACTTATATTCTCCTCTCTATCGTTCACATGATTGACTGATATAATAGAGACTAAAGAAAGATGAGAATAAATTAATAATCTCAATATCATACTCTTTTTTATATATCATAATATTATTAATTTTTCTTAATATGATCCATGTAGTTTGTCTTGTTAAGATAATCCTATTATCATATTAAACTGTTAAATACATATACATAAATATAAATATAAATATAAATAAAAAAATTATCAATAATAATATCTACTTAAAAATATATGTATATCATTATATCTTTTATGAGTTGCTCATAAGTGTCATTCTAAGAACATATTCTTTAAAAAATTTGAGATGTAAAATCTTAATAAATAAATCAACAATCATTAAGGTGATATTCATGTTCTATCTAATTGTATGTCAACCTCATTTATATATACCTCAAGAGAGTCAATAACGTGAGACTTTTCATATATTAGATATATAGTCATACTTTGACAAGTTATTTATAAATAGGTTAAGGTTCATTTTAGCCGATGTGGTTTTGGACATGAATTATTTACGTCTTTATGATTTACTCGTATATAAAATAACCTCTATATTTTTAAAAACATAGTATATAAACCTCTCGAGTCAAGTATGAGTTAATAGACGTTAGAGTCATAATAAACTAGATACATAATAAACTATTATTAGACGTTATGATTTACTTACGTAGCATGTAGACTCATAATAAACTATTAATATAATGACACGTATAATTTAAGTTTTAAAAAAAAATATAGTTTAGCCCTTATTGTTTTGATTATGGATCACTTAAGCTCTTATGCTTTTGTTTATGTCTAAAATAACCCCTACATGTTTAAAAATATAACATATAAGCCCCTCCCGTCAATTCTGAATTAATAAATGTTAGAGTCTATTTGCGTAACATGCTAACTCATAATAAATTATCAATATAATAACATATATAATGTATTCATTAAGGTGATGCTCATGTTCAATCTAATTATATATCAACTATATTTATATATACCTCAAGAGAGTCAATACATAGACTTTTCATATATTAGATACTTTTCATATATTAGATACATAGTCATATTTTGACAAGTTATTTATAAATGAGTTAAGGTTCATTTTAGCTCATGTGGTTTTGGACATGGACCACTTACGTCCTTATGATTTGCTCTCATATAAAATAATCTATATATTTTTAAAAGCGTAATATATAAGCCCCTCCCGTCAAGTCTAAGTTAATAGACATTAAAGTTTATTTATGCAGTATATTGACTCATAATAAACTATTAATATAATGATATATATAATTTGAGTTTATAAAAAGGAGTCTAATTTAGCCCTTATGGTTTTGATTATGGATCGCTTAAGCTCTTGATTATGGATCACTTAAGCTCTTATGGTTTTGTTTGTGTATAAAATAACCCATATATATTTAAAAATATAACATATAAGCCCCTCCTATCAAGTCTGAATTGACAAATGTTAAAGTCTACTTACGTGACATGCTAACTCATAATAAA